TCTCACTTCAGATGATTCATAACTGTGTGGCCCTGGACAAGTGACTTAACTCCCACTGGATCTCATTTTCCTTATCTATGAAATGACATGGTTGGGCTCAAAGATCTCAGTTCTAAATCTATGATTCTGTGACAACTAGATAGAGATAGATGACATAGATGGAACATTTATTAAGCACTTACTGTATGCCAGAAACCATAACTAGACATTTTTGTATTTGTGGTAAGAGACATGAAATGCAAAAAAGACACCCCAAGGTTGAGCACTACTTAGGTGGCTTTGGGTGAGTAGGTGGGGTAGAGATAGACTTAAGGAGCAGTCGTCTGGGGTATGGCCACCCAGAGATACCTCAAGGCCTCTGCCGGGGAAGCCACTACTGAGGTTGAGAAGCCAGGTCAAGTTAGAAAGCTTACCTGGGGTGCAGCAGAGCGATTACGGAGAGAGGAAACACACTATCTAGTTTTGCTTTTTTTTAATTCTTGCTAACTAGGTCCTAAGCTGCTTAGGAGTATAATGCTGTTAGCACTCTGAATTTTGGTACCCTAGGACAAAGCCCCAGTGGCTCTGCCCTAGTTATGGGACTGACCAGATGAGCTCGGTCTCTTCCAACTTTGACAAGCTCCGTTCTGTCTCAGGCCCTGGGTATCTCTGGATCTTTTATTCACTAATGAGGAAGAAGAGTCTACTTGTTTATCTATGATTAGTTCACGCTGTCCTAGTTGTCTGACAGGCAGGCCCAGAGCTGGAGCTCAGGCTCCCAGGATAGGGGCAGAAGGGGACGCCAGCATGACGACAGTGAAGCAGCCTGGATTTGGAGTCAGAAGACTTGGCTAGAGGCCCAGTTCTGCTGTGTGACCTAAAGTGTATCGCTACCACTTTTTTTTTTTTTTTGGTTGGGCAGTGGGGGTTAAGTGACTTGCCCAGGGTCACACAGCTAGTAAGTGTTATGTGTCTGAGGCTGGATTTGAACTCAGGTCCTTCTGAATCCAAGGCCGGTGCTCTATCCACTGCACCACCTAGCTGCACCCCCCCTACCACTTCTTAGTGGGACACCTTCAACAAGTCCCTTCACCTCTCTGGGCCTCAGCACCCCAGCCTCAAATTCAAAGGCTGGACTAGCTCTCCCAGATCCCTTCCAGGCCCCAGAGCTTATGTGGGTCACACCCTCCTCCTCTTCAAAGCTCTCCTCTTCAAAGCTCGGCCTGCTCCAGGGTCTCCTTACTGCCTCAGGTGACCTCCAACCTCCCCATCCCCCAAACCCTGTGAAGGAACCTCAGCTCTAGGGGCTGGAAAAACTGAGCCAGGAGGCAACTTGATCCTTCATTGTCCCAGCCAGGCCCCACAAGTACCCTGGGCCTAGCCTGTGGTTCAGGTTACACCTCGTGGTGGGAGGGGAGGGAGATCAGCCCAGTCCCCGAAGGGGGTTTCCACATGCCAGCTGAAGCCAGATCCTTCCTTCCCCACTCCCTGCCTACATCTGGAAGGCAAAGGTAGAGGGGCCTGCCTCTACTTCTGTCTCCAAACACTACGGGAAGGACTGAGTTAGACTCTGGAAAGGACTTCCTAAGGGAGAAATAGTAGCTCCAAAGGCCACAGAGACTATAAACAGACCTTTTAATTAGGCTCTAAATGGGTATTTATGACCACAGTCTGCCCCCCTTATTATAGACCATCTTACCCTAACTATCCCAGCCCACACTTCCTGCCTAATGAAGCCTCATGTTCCACTCCTCCATCTAGGATAGGGCTTTTGTCCATGTCACACACAGATGCCCGAATGGTCTGCGCCCGTGGCTGCTTGCTGCAGAGTCTTACACTTTATATAAGGCCTGTTGGCTGGCTCACAAAGCCTGGAACTGTTTGCAGAACCTAGCATTATTCCAAGAGCCTACTGACCCTATGCATGACCTCAAGGCTAATACTAGAAGAGTCTTGGACTATTCTCAGAGCCTGAAGCCTGGAACTGTTTGCCTGCTTGGCTACCATAGGCTTAGAAGCATTCTTAGGGCCCATATGGCTATTTGCAAAACTCCTGCCTATTCAGCCACCCTCCCTCAATGTCCTCCCAGACCCTAGTTCAGAAGCCTCAGGTGCTCTCTGAGTAAACAAAGAAATCCTCGAGCTCCGCATACTTGGGGCAGTGGGCCTCACACAGGCCCTCCCCTCCCCTTTGAAAGAAGCCAGGCCCTTCTGGCCTCCCTTCAAATCACCCTCCCCAGAGAACTGCTCTGTTACCCCAGCTGCACTTCTACTCAGTCCTCTCTCCTTCGTGCACTCAAGTCTCACCTCTGCCTCTGAGAAGGCCTTGTTTCCTTCAGCTCTGCTCCCACAACCCCTTCCTACACGAAGCCTTTCCTGATTCATGCCAGCTGCTAGGGCCCTCCCCCTCAAAAAAATATATCTTGTAAATTTTTATATTGTATAGATATTGTATATTGTATTTTTTATGTTGTGTAAGATATACACAACTTTATATTATATGGATGTATACATACACACAATATATATTTTGTGCATATATGCTATAAATACATATTTATGTTTATTACTTCCCTGCCCCCCCCAAATGAAAGTTCCTTCCCTTAAGGAGCTTAGTAGAGTGCCTGGCACATAGTAGGTGCTTAATAAATGCTTATTGCTTAACCGATGTACTGATGAAGCCACGGCTTTCCCTCAGACTAGGGACTCTCTACGAGAAAAGGCCATATATCTTCTGGGAGGGGGCAGGGTGTTGCATAAAAACCAGAATTACAGCGTAAAGGGGACTTATGAATCATTTAGTTCAATCCTGATATTTTCCAAAGGAGGATTCAGGGGTCCCAAGAGGAGAAGGGGCTGGCTCAGGGTCACACTGCAAGTCAGTGGCAAAGGACTTGAACCCCAAAACCCCAGAGGTGTCAAATTTGGGGTCTGTAAAACTCTCCAGTGCAGACAGACTCCGACTAAAATATAATTGGGAAATGTTTAACAAAACAAATAAAATAAAAATACATAACACAATACAATAATAATACAGTAACAAAATACAAAAATAAATATACAACACAGGTAATGTTAACTTATGGTTCTCTACATCTATATGCTACCTGCAGGGATCAGTTTCTATTTGAAGTAGATTTGGGGGGTGGGGGAAGACCCCTATCTAGACCCATATCTAGAACATTGGCTCCACATTTTAGGAAGGTCACTGGTCAATGAAGGCAAGACCAGAGGAGGATGACCTATATGGAGAAGGTACTAGAAGCCAAGGCCAAATGAAGGTTATCATTTGGATCAACTGGAGATGTTGAGTATCACAGCGCAGGGCTGGAAGCAAGTGGGGAACAACTGCAGAGAGAGTTTCCAGTGCATGGAAAACCTTCCTGGGATTCACCAGTGGAAAAGTAAAATGGGCTGTCTCAGAAGGTAGTGAGCTCCCTATAACTAGAGTTCTGCAAGCAAAAGCTTAATGAACACTCCATAGAGATCAGAG